GAGGGAGAGACAGAGAAAGAGAGAGAGAGAGAGAGAGACATTGTTGTGAGAGAGACACATCGACTGGTTGCCTCCTATACTCACTCCAAACAGGACCAGGGATCAAGCCTGCAACCAAGGTATAGGCCCTTGGCTGGAATCGAACCCAGGACCCTTCAGTCCGCAGGCAGACACTCTAACCACTGAGCCAAACTGGCTAGGGCACAAGCAAATCTTTTTTAAAAATTTTAAATTTATTTGGGTGACATTGGTTAACAGGATCATATAGGTTTCAAGTGTACATTTCTATGATACATGATCTGTATATTACACTGTGTGCTCACCATAAGCAAATATTTTTACAAGTTACAATCTGATGGAGGTTCATTTGTTTTGAGTAAGTTGAGAGTTATGTTCATTCACAATTACCAAATTTATATGCACACTGTCTGAAAGGCAAATTTAACTAGTAAGAATTCCTTCTAAGGTAACTCCTTAATTAACATAAATTCTACATGTAAAAATTTAATTAGAGTTAAGGATACATCAAAGAGTTAAAATTAACTTAAGGCAAACTGCCTCATTTCCAACAATTATTAAGCATTTATTCCCCCATTTATTTAGGAATATTTTTAAGACCCTAAAAAAGTTAAAATAATAATACAATGAACATCTTTATAGTCTTCACCTACATTCACCAATTAATATTTTTTTCACATTCATTTTCTCTCTCTTTCCATATCCGTATCTATATATCTATACATACATACATATGTATTTGCAGGGGACAGGGCTTGGACCATTTGAATGGAAGTTGCCTATGAATCTTTTAAGAACAAGAACATTTTCTTACATAACCATGATCACATCCTCTCCCATGAAACCCAAGAAATTTAACATTAAGTATCACCTGCCATACAGTCTATATTCAGATTCCCCCAATTATTCCAACAATGTCCTAAATTTCTGTGTCTGTGTGTATAACTCAGGATCTAATCAACGCTCACATCCTGGCCCTTAAGTCTTCTCTAACCTAGAGCAGCATTCCCTGGCCTGTGCAAGTGCCTCACACCTCTGCTTTGTTGAAGGGTCCAAGTCAGCTATCTTGTAGAATGTCCCCTAATCTGCATTTGTCTGGTTGTGCCCTCAAGATTAAATTTAGTTAAGATATTTTTGGAAAGAATCTTGCATAGGTAATGTCATATACTTCCTTTTGCATCATATCAGGAGGCTCAATGCCGGGCTGCCCTAGTGGCCGAGACATTTAGTTAAGGTGGTCTCTTTATGCTCTTGTAATTAAGAAATAATCTGCAAGGTAAGACTTTGGATCTCTGTGAATATCTTGCCATTCAATAACCTTTCCCTTAGTGGTTTTAGCTTCCACTGATTATCTTTGCCTAAATCAATGACTATACTGGAGGTTACACAGAGGCAATTTTCTTTTTTAAATTTTTATTTATTGATTTTAGAGCGAGAGAAACATCAATCTTGTTCCACTTACTCATGCACTCATGGGATGATTCTTGTGCATGCTCTGAGGGAGATGGAGCCACAGTGGTGGTTTTCCACTCTATGTTCCTCTGGATGCATTAGTTGGCGTGCTTCTATAGAAGCTGTGGCTCTTTGGGCCATCTTTTCTCTGCTATTATAAAAAAGATTTTGCATCTGGCATGTTACAATACACTGCCATCCTTATTCTTTCTGCGGTGCTCAAACTACCTTCATATTGGTTCCTATGTTCTGTTCACACATCTGCAGTAATCTCTGTGCATTTTCATGCCTGTTGGTACAATGAGATGTTTCAGGCACAACCCACATTCTCCTGGCTCTGACCTGGTCCTCCTAGTGGGAAACAGTCCCTAAACACACATATCTTCTTTCAAATCTTCTCTGTGGAAAGAACTGAGCAATTTATATAAAACAAAACCATTACCTGTACCCATTCTTCAAAGCAAACTGACTTTTGAGGCATTATTTAAAAACATTTGACACCTACACAATATTACAAACTAAACTGTATAAGTCCTTCATTCTTCATAAACTTAATTCATTTTAAATGACAATTTATAGCATAAGTTCATTTTCAGAGAGAAATCTCCCTTGGCCTGCATATCGCAGGAGCAAGTCCTCAACTGCACAGGGGCAGAGAAGGGAGGGGAGGCTAAGAAGCAGAGACCAAGAGCCCATCTAAAGGAGGTCCTGCCATGAGCTCAGCCAAATGCTGGAAATGCACAGGAATTAAGAACTGACTTTGTCAGCTTGAGTTTTAAAGATACTCTGTAAATCTGGATTTCATATAAAATGTCCTGGTTTTTTAAAATACCATATGCTCCAAATAAAACACATCTGCAGACTCAATACCACCCATGGGTCATGACCTACAGTATAAAGTCAATTCATGATAAACCACAGAACCTAGCCCACCATAAGGGATACTTGAACATTCAAAACCACCCAGGAAATCATGACCATCCATCAGGAAATCATGACCATCCATTCCTTTCAGAAATCTGTGAATGCCTGCTATATACAACCTTTATGTTATGCATAAAGAACATATGCTATTTATATCCTAGGGTTCAATGGCCTAGAACATTCTTAAACTAGGTATTTATTTGCAAGGCATGCTCCCACACATCCCTTAGGGCTTCTCTAACGACTGATCCCCACTCCCCACCCCACTTTTCTCCATAGCACTTACACCGTTCACAATGAACAAACAGACGAACAGATTCCTTGTAGCTACTGCTACATGAGACTGTTACACAGTCCACTCCAGTGTACTTAGGTGAGAGCAGAAAAGGAGGAGCCCCAGATACTGGCTACTGACCACCACAAAGCTCAATTACCTGAGTGATACTGAGCTCGGGAGGGCGTCCCATGTGGCCACAGTCACCCCTAATCCACAACCATTGGATTCTTAATTTGAATGAGATGATTTCTCAGGTCTTTCCCAGCTCATTTGTTTGGGCTTGGACCACTCCATTTCTAGAGTAGGAGGTGGTCAGGAAAGGGTCTTAGAAATTACATGTGAGCTTGGCTTAAGTAATTTATTTTTATATTTACATGGTTCAAATATTCTGGGCCATGCAAGAAACTTGTGTAGAAGTTCCTTTTATAGTAATCCATGTCTGTGTTTATAAAATATTAACACAGAAGTTATTACTTTTTTGGTTTTGTAATTTGTTTTCTTGTTTACCATGTAATAATGTGGTTATTCATAATTCCTAACAATAATGTTTGATATAGTAAAAGTAATTCTCTAATATTTAGATCAAAGCCTGATAAGGCAAAAATCAAACAATAAAAATAACAAACATGCTGGAAAAGAATTAGGTCACCTCTACAGAACCCCTAGAGCAGGGGTGGAGAGTGTCTGGAGGGCCGTGTAAGGCCCGCACAATCACTGGGTCTGGCCCTGTCAAGGCAACCGCAGGTGGAACTTGAAATTCAATAAATCTAGCAGCTTTTCTTCACAGCTAATTTTTAAGTTGATAGTTTTATATGGCCAGCGAATGATGTTATAAATATCCAAATGGCCCTTGGCAGAAAAAAGGTTCCCCATCCTGCCCTACAGGAACGAAAAGCAGAAAATTTTCTCCTTACTACTTGAGGGAAGAGGAGGTACACTGCTGAGTCTGGAACGACCCCCTGTGAGGTTGCAGGGGAAACTTCGGGTCCTTTCCGAATGGTGTGCCAGTGCGTGCTGAGCCATCTCTACAGCTGTGAGGTGAAGCTTCTCACCCTGCAGTCCTGAATATGCAGGGGATCTGTGTCTTGGGAGGGATCCCGAGACACACCGCAGATTAGAGGGGATAAACCAAATCCACTACCCCCGAGCCCCTGTTACACTCCAGGGCGAGTTTCTTTCCCCAGGCCCTCTGACCAAAGATCAAAGCCAAATGCGGGAGGACGGCAAACCCAGGGCGCACACGAGGGGAAAGGAGAAGAAGGGTGCAACACGCCTTTAAACACCACCTCCCAGGAAGCGCCTCCCAGCTCCGCAGGCAGAGGCAGAAGCCCACCTAGAAGAGCTGTGCAGCCAGCCGAGAGCAGGGAGAGTGCCGGACCAACTGTGCCAGCAGAGGCAAAGGCAGAGGGGAAGGGGGCAAGCACACTCCCACTGCTACTCAGCCCCAGCCCAGCGGGGCGGCCAAAACAGGAGGCATTCTGGCAAAGCTTTACTTTTCAAAAGAAGCCGAAACCTCCCAACTTTTAAATACAGCAACTAGATTTAACAAAATTCATACACATAAGCCTCAGACAATAAGAATGTTTGAATGCTCACAGCTGCGCTACAAATGAAAGGAACCCAGTTGACTATGTATATAAAGTATGTAATCTGTGGCATATTCATACAATAGAACACAATACGATAATGAAAACAAACAAAGAACTGCTAACCACAGGGACGAGGGAGGGTCTCAAAAACACAGCGTTGAATGAAGAAACCACACACAGAAGAGAGAGTACCACTGACCCTTTTAAGTGGATAGAGTCCCGGGAACAAGAGCGGTGCTGGAAGCCAGGAAGGGGCCCTTCTGAGAGACTGATTCTGAGGAGGGCTCTGGGAGGAGAGGGAGTTTTTGCTCAAGGTTCAGGTTGTAAAAATTAATTGAGCTGTACCATTAAGAATATATATCTGTTAAAAGTTAAAATATAAAACATTGTGCAGGACAAATAAGATGTTGCCCAAGGGCTTCCCATTTACAGCTGCTGCTCTGATGGAACTCAGGTTAATAAAATGCAGGTCAACTCTCAAGATGTCTCAATTCATCAAGATAACATGTTCAGCCCGGCTGGCGTGCCTCAGCTGTTGAGCATCGACCTGGGATCCAGGCGATCAGAGTTCAATTCCCAGTCAGGGCACATGCCCAGGCTGCGGGCTCAATCAATGACTCTCATCATTGATGTTTCTCTCTCTCTCCCTCTCCTTTCTTCTCTCTGAAATCAATAAAGATATATTTTAAAAAAATAAAAGATAACATGTTCAGTTCAAAACAAGAACCATGTTTTGAACTAAACGTAACTGAATAAATGAGAACATGAGAATTCTTACCAAACTGGAGGACTGCCACCCCTCCTAGGCTGCAGACCTGAAGCTCTTCAGGGGCCAGCATATGAAACTGTCCACCTCTAGGTCCAGGAAATGGTATTTTATTTGGGCTGGGGCCGACCACCTTACACACCTGAGGCACAGTGCTCTCTCTCTATGGTTGTGACTGCCATTTCTCTGAGTGGAGGGAAAGGATTGTCAGAATCTTTACGCAGAACAAACTCTGCCACCTGACTGGAAACATGCTTTGCCAACAGGCTGGCCCCAAAGCCTGTGCTCCGGGAAGACCCACTGGCATCACTGGCACTGGTGAGTCTTTCTCACCAGATGCAGGAAAATGTCCCCTCTCGAATCGAAGGATGAGGCCTATTTTATGTAGGAACTGGGCATTTTCTTGGGGTAAGTGGGAAAGGTGTGCTAACAATTCCCTTCTGCTGAGACAGTGGAGTGTTTCTGCTCCCAAGTCCTCCCTAAAACCTGTGTGGTCACAGCTGATATTCTCTTGAACAGGAAAAATCAAAGCAGGTATCACCTGGATCCAGGCATCTATGCCAGTATCCGAGCCTGTAGGCTGGGACAGGGGCATTACACAGGGCCTGGCCTACAGTTGCCCTGACATGCCTATAGCAGGGTTAAACCCTTTTAAAGAGAATCTTGGGAAGTATGCTTGATGTAGCAGCTTCAGCCATCAGGGGAAAATAACCGTGTGGTTCCTTTCTCAGATGCACTGGAGTTGGGGTTTACATTTCAATAGTGTTCGTATTCTTTACCAAGATTGATACATATTCTGTTGGTCTACATAGGGCAATTTTTAAATTTGTAATTTATAAGTATTCATTCATTTAAGAGTTTCATAAAGTATTTTTTCAAATCAGGTATTTCTTGAATGACTCTCCCTGCGCTTTCAATGGCCAGCTGCCATGTATTATTAAGAGCTCTTTTTTCTTCAGGATCTTCCAGTAGACGTCTCGTTTAGCTAGAAGTCTTGGCTACAATACAAACAGTGATGGAAAACACATGAGCAGTAACAAGTTTTAATCTTGCTTCTCAGTACTAACATGGACTAATCTGTGGGAGCAGCTCATTCCAGTGTCACCCAGGGTGCAGCCACACAGGCTCTGCTGAGGGAGTGCTTCTTGTAAATGTGACAGCTCCTCCTTTCTCCTTAAACAGTACCTGGGAACACTGACATTGCAGATAAGTAGTACATGGTGGAAAATCCTACTTTCATGAGGACTTACTCTCTTCTTACAAGGTATGTTTTCATGTGTTTTTTTCAGGAACCAGTATACAATTATCTTATAGTCAATTCTAAGGGGACAGTAATATTATTAACATAAATTGTTGTAAATTATAGGATAAAGTTTAAAGTTTATCTGTATAATTTCTTAAATATCATTACTTAATTACATAACAACTTAACATTACTCTAGCTTTTTGTTTTAAATAGAATGAATTTATTTTTAATATAATTGTGACTTTTTTAGAGCTAAGTGGAAACCTGTCATGATACTTTACCATAAATGCTAACATGGTTGATTTAAAAATCATTTAAACAAATATCTGTATCTTCTTTTAGGAAAATAATATTGCCTTAATAATTAATGATAAGGATGTTCACAAATATAAGAATATCATAAATACATTAAATAAAACAGTAAATATTTCTTTTGAAATGTAAAACTATGATATTTTCTACTGTATTTAAAATATATGAACCATTCAAATGTCGTCTTTACTTACACATTTGAATGTTCCTATTTTCCTATGGTAAGTGCTTTCCAGGTAATGAAATGGCACTGTACTCATGAAACAGAATCCATATAATTCCAAGAAAGAATAAAGATCAGCAACAGTTTAGCTCTATATTCAACATAAAAAATTAGAAACTTCTTTTCACCAACTCCATGAAGTCAGAATTTAAACAAAGATTTCCTTTGTCCCATCCCAAAGTTAATTTTGTATTAAATCTTAGATTAAAAAAGGTAAACAATGTATTTGATATTCTACTTTCTCATAATTTAAACAGAGTAGAGCATTCTTTCTTGTGAACCTACTCAGAGGTGTGACAACCAGGAACGTGGCCATCTGTGTAGGATTAAGTCACAAAAAAACCTGAGGGGTCTACATCTTTCTAAAAATAAAGTACTTAAATGAATAAATCAGAAGCCCACACTTATGCAAAGCATCTTGGTATCTTTGTTTCCAGTACTTAGCAGCCTTGCACAGTGGTGGGGAGATGAGGGGATGTGCAGTCTCTATTACAACTAACTACTGCATATGAAAAATATAACAGAATATTTGATACCTGATCTGAGATTTAAGACAAAATTGATTACTTTTCTAAGCACGAGTCCTAAGGCACTATTGGAAACGGCAGAGAAATGAAGAGGGAGGAGTTTGTGCTTGTTAAGACAACAGCTAGGCTGCCAGACAGCACTGAAACACTGATGCACAAAAGTGGTATGAAAGGAAAAGCAGCCTCCAAGTTCTTTAATCAGATGTTATATATACTTCTAAGGTAAAGCTAACTGTTTCTTTAATGAAAGTATAGTCTATACAAGTATCTGTTTCCATGACCAAAAGGTACTGTGAATAAGTTTCCAAATGCACATTTGGACGTTTAACTTGCCTGCCCGCTTACAAGGCCCTGCTTGGTTACACCTGAATTTAGTCTGGATTCCGTCCGTGAAAACAGAATATGTTACATAACATTTATAGACTGAAAACTACTACTGGCACTTATGAACTGACAGAAAACATTTCAGCCACGGGAAAAGTTGCCAAGCATGAGATTTAAAAGCAGTGACTGATTTTCCTAATAATAGTGTCTAACAGGAAATACCATTTCACTTAGGCAAATTTTCCATTCCAAGTGTGTGGAACACTGAAGTGGGAAACAGGAGCCTGCCTTTGCAAATGCAGAAAGACACTCTTAGCTACATTTCCAGTTCTGAGAACCTGGGCAAACTTCTCACCCCGACCTCTCTGAGGACAACTTGGTTACTATCTGGAAGTCACCGTGGGATTAAGACTTGGAGAAAGCCATGCAGTAGGGTAGGCAGTGCAGGAGTGAGAAGGGTGGCCTTAGCTTCTTCAGACGTCAAGAGAGGGCAATGGGAGGAACGTCTCTAATTGCCATGGTTCAATTAATAACAGCAGCAGTACAGAAATAATATTCCAAATCATATTCTGATCAAGGGAAACTTGAAACCAAAATCCAAAGTTCTCCATGAGTAAGAAACTCTGGCCAGCCCGGCCGGGCGTGGCTCAGCGGTTGAGCATCGACCTAGGATCCAGGAGATCGGGGTTTGATTCCCAGTCAGGGGACATGTCCAAGTTGTGGGCTCAATCCCCAGTCAGGGGCGTGCAGGCGGCAGCCGATCAATGACAACTCTCTCATCATTGATGTTTCTCTCTCTCTCTCTCCCTACTTCTCTCTGAAATCACTAAGATATATTTTTAAAAAAAGAAAAAAGAATTGAGGTTTAATAAAATTAACAACTTAAAAAAAAAAAAAGAAACAAAACTCTGGCCAAACTAGTCTATAGTGGGAAAATACTGAGTCTTCCTGAGAACAAAACTTGAATATTTTTAGTTTTATAAATAACACAATATAAATACCTCCAAAACTAATATTAGTTTGGGCCATATTAATAAACGCAAAACTTAAAATAAGACAACAATAAGTCACATCATTTTAAATGAGAAATAATATTCTCTATATTCTTTCTGAATAATAGGGGAAAAAACATTATTATGTGGTATTCCCCCCTGGACATTCGATATTTTTCTACTGATAAAAAAAAATTTGCTAAAATAGAGTAAGGTCAGGTTTGGGGTCTACAATCACTTGCACTTTATCAGGTCTTTATCATCTCAGATCAAGGGTGTAAATGGTGAATTCCTCATGCAATCACGGTATGAGAATACAAAAACATAAGATTAACCTCACACGGCTAACAGAAGACAGGACTAGTAAAGACAGAACAATGTGCGAGAGGCACTTCTGGTTTCACTAGAAAGAATTTCCTATCAACCACAGATCTGCTCCCGGGGTCCTCTCACTGGAGTCCTGCCGGCAGACTGGACGCACTATCTGTCCAGACATTCTGGAAGAACCTCCAGCACTAGGAGGAAGTTCCACCTGGATGGCATTTCCTGCTTCCGCAGGTTTCCTCTCTCACTCGCCACGCAGGGCCCAGAGGGCATGCCAGGCGGCTGCCCCCCACTAGCGGCTGAGAAGCGGCTGGACTACCACCAGTGCACCACTGTCCAAGTGAGCAGGCCAGTCTGCACCTCACTGAAGGCAGGGAGGTCTCAGAACAGTCGCTGTAAGAGAGGAGAGCGTGGAAGGGAGAAAGGAAGGGAGAACACGGCTGACCCGTGGGTGAGCTGGTCAGCAGCCCTGCAGAGGGGACATGGAAGAGAAACCACCCCTCCCTCCCACACCCGGCTCCTTTCCTCTCCTTTACCCGTGTGCCTGGCTTCTCTGTGTCCTCCCAGCTCTGCTCCTCACACCAGTGTCCCTCCGTGTCGCTCACACCTACTCTGCTCTTCATCCTAGCCTACACCCCGTGCCCAGGTCCTCCTAGGTCACATGGCATGACCGCAGCAGGAAGCGGAAGATGGGGTTTGCAGGAGTGAAGGCCACAGGGAAAGCCTACGTGTTCCTGGTTTCCTACTTTGGCTAACACATTCCTCTGACATGTATTTTTAAAAGTTCTATGGTTTTTGCCCGGCTGGGCGTGGCTCAGCCATTGAGCGTCAACCTAGGATCCAGGAGATCGGGGTTCAATTCCCGGTCAGGCACATGCCCGGGTTGTGGGCTCAATCGATGACTCTCTCATCATTGATGTTTCTCTCTCTCTCTCTCTCTCTCTCTCTCTCTCCCTCCCTCCCTCCCTCCCTCTCCTTTCCTCTCTCTGAAATCAATAAAGATATATTAAAAAAAAAGCACAACCTCTGAGGGGAGGGGACCCCTCAGGGGTGGAGCAGTAGTTCTGAACCAGGGACACGATTGCCCACCCCTGCCCCAGAACAAAGGACATTTGGCAGTGTCTGGCCACACTTGTGGCTGTCACGAATTGAGGGATCTGGGTGCCATTGGCAGTTACCAGGTGGAGGCCAGGGATG